GCTAATAGCTCTGTGAGGCTGTACCTACAGAGAGTGAGTTTGCAGCGCTTCAGCTAACTGCTAATCAGTCAGGCAAATATGCTCACAGCGACGATGCTAATAACCAGAAAGTACAGCTGAGGTTTACATGAATTTGGGCAAATTAAGAGATTCAAATAGACCCAAGCAGCAAAACTGAACAAATATTCAACACTGACATTTCTGTAGCCACAATGCTAATGTGGCTAAAAAGACTGTTAGCACCCATTCAAAAGCAGTAACTAAATTAACTTATTGTAATAATTTATTCCTTTTTTTTATAGCATCACTTGTTGCATTTTCCAACAATATTTTGTCATCATGTTGAAAACAATAAATACAGTATATTTGCCAATTAGTATGTCAATCAAAAATATATTTGTGATCAACGACAGCTGACCCACGTATCAGTTACATTTGTATATAAATGCTATTGAGGTGTGTCATGCGTCTCATGTTAGCAAGACAGAGACATCATCAACCAGCGACAAACCAAGTGCACAACCACACCAGTCTCATGATGTGGAACCCACACAAGGCTGCTCTATTGTCTGCATCAGCAACTTGGACTTATTGCGTCACGGCATACCTCCGATCAGCCAACGGAGTCTCCTGTAGCCGGGTGGCAACACAGTAAGTCACCCATTGTCTCGCCGAAGCCAGTAAGACGCGCAAAGAAAAGCTCTGTCTGTTGAATAATAGAGGAAATGTGGCGCGATTAAGTGATGAAAGCTGCTAAAGGAGTCATTTGACTGGCTGACACACTGAAGCACCAGAGGTACAGCAGCCTCTTCCAAGTCATGAATCAAAGACAAAAACAAACCATCAGCACCAGTCAGGTCATTACCAAGCAGGAGAATGATGAAACGTTAGCATGAGCGCAAGTTTACACGAACAAACCGACGTCGTACAACCAGAGGATCAGAAGTGAAGGAGAGCTCCACCGATTTAACACATCCGGGTGCTGAGAGGACGACGGTCTGAGCGAGAAGAGGAGCGTAAAGCCTTCTGTCTCCAGAGAAGTCTGGTGAATGTCCTCACAAATCATGGAAAAATAAAATAATAAAATCTCTGATCTGTGCCTGGATCCTACCTGGATCTCTGACCAAAAGAGACGAAAAGCAAAGACGACGCTCACTGAAGCTGCACAGTGTTGATCCTGATGCTCTGTGTTTATGAAAGAACACATGACATGCACATTGTCAGGTCTTGAATGCTTTAAAAGAGTCACTTTTTAAATTCAAAACGTGCCTTTTATGCATCTCTGTGGGAAACAGGCTGCAACCAGCAACCACAGCAGAGTGGGAGTGTGATGCCAACTGGGTAAAGCAAGTTTTGAGAGCATTTAAACAAACGATTAAGAGTTTAACACTAAAAAAACAAACTTGACAGCAGCTTGGGACCAAAAACATTGATTTAAATATGATTGAGGTCTGATTGGTGCAATGAAACGTTTTTTTCCAGCTCATCTCCCAATAAAAAGCTAAAAAGCAAAGACATATTTTATCTGAAGTAACCCAAACGGTTACGTGGAGCCCTGATGTTCCCAACAGAGCAAAAAATCAAGACAACATTTATGATCAGAACTTTTTTTCCTGCAGTTTGCTTCATTTTTGCCCAAGAATCTGGGAATTATTGCTTCTACATGATATTTATTTGTCGTAGCGTTCAGCGTTTGCACCGACAACAAACACACAATCACAAAAGCCGAGACGTCACAGCAGACAACGCGCTGCACACACTTCATCATCGGCGGTGGTATTTGGTGTGGAGGTGGGACGGCCGGCTGTCACCGTGGGTTTAAAGTGGACTCCTGGATGTTTGGTTAAATGACATGCAGGTAAATCTTCAGCCGTTCCAGCAGCCGCCCACGTGGGGGTCTGATTTGTTTCCTGTTTATGCCAACATGCAAAGATAACAAGCGCTGCACACGCAATTATAATAATTATAATAATCTGATTATGGTGACGGTGATGAGAATGATAATGATGAGAACAGCGTCCTTTGTCAAATCCAATGTATTCCAGACACAGATGACTTCACGGTGGAATATACAGAACAGAACCGCCAGAGAGAAATCCTCAATTTTTCCAGGAAACACGCTCATCCTTCAAAGAAAAAAAGAAAAAAAAGGTCAACGCTGCGTGATTTCAGCGCCTTGATGGGAGATCTGTCTCCATTTTTATCAGCTTTCTCTCACTCTGGAGGAAGCGCTGATAAAAAATGCTCTTGTGTGGCTGTTCTGACATAATAAACACGTCCATTCACCGCTCTGTATGTTACGGGCTGATTTGGACAAATCACACCGCTGGTTTAATACCCATGATCCTCTGCTGTTAGCGGCGGTGTTTCTGCTGTAGCTGAATGCACAGAGGAGGAGGAGGAGGAGGAGCAGGCTGAAGGCCAACGTAAAATCACACAGATCAATGATTCTATTTGCCTTTTAAGAGTCGGAGGTGTTAAACGAGCGACAGGATTTTCAGCTTCCTCTCTGCACAAATGGCTGCCGCTTCATTTGCGATGATTTTGCATAAATTCTTGCAGCGGTGAGATAATCCGTCTAGGGATGCCGCGGCTATCAAAAGAGAACCAAAACAATACGATCGCAGTGAGACAGGAAATCTGGGTCCTCCTGAAGATGTATGCTGGCAGTTGCCAAGGTAACAGCTTTTTCTGCTTTTCATTAGAGCTCAATGGGTACTGCCCCACTCTTTGTCGGTTTTCTGTTTGTGTGCACATGTTTAAGCGTGCACACAGGTCTGTGTGTGCGCGTCGGTGTGTGCGTGCATGTGCTCAGCGTGAAAAGGGAAGCGTACAAGAGCAAATTGAGTTAGTCAGGAAGCAGGCCTGGAGGTCTGATTTGATCAGTCTAATGTGTGATCAGTGTGAATGGGAACCTGGCACTCAAAAAGCCTCCGTCGCCATGCAGCTTAGTCTGCTTCAAACAATGTACCGAAGCCCAGAGACACAGACAGGAGAGACACCGCGCTGGCAACCGTCTCCACCAGGGCTTTATTCCTGCAGCTGATTCCAGCCCCCGGCCTGGACGGTTGTACATACAGCGCTCACGTGTTCATCTGTCAACACTTCACATCTCCAGGTTCAAACAGGAAGCCGAGGAGGAGGTCGTCCTCGTGTTCACGGCGTTTACATCAGCAGAGATATAAAACAT